TGCTTGGCCAGGGCCAGGTTTGAACCCGACACCCTCATATATGGGGCCGGCGCCCTACTCACTGAGCCACAGGCCCCGCCCCCAAATTGTACTTCTTACAACATGCTCCTTCATGCTCTCAGTCTTGACTTTTTGTTTTTAATTTGAATTTTTAAATTTATAGTGAATTTATAAATCACTTAGACTATTTTATTCTTAGTCTTTTAAATTATATTTTTCTTATTGGTTTAGAAGAGCTTTTTATTACATATTAATAGTTTAAATTGTTATACATTATAGAATATCTTTTCTTTCTCATTTGTCTTTGGGCTGTAGTGGTGAATTGGTCTCTCTACACAGTTAATCCGTCTTATGTACTGTATTAAAAGATAGCTATAAACCCTGCCTTTATATATTGTGGTCAGAATTTTATAACAAAGTATGAAGTCTTCAGCTAATGATTCTCAAACTTTAGTGTGAATAAGAATCACCTTGGAGGCAGTTACAAGTTAGATTCAGTGAATATTGCCTACGACCTGGGGATCTCATCTTTAATAAGAACCTCATATTCATTATGATTCATAAATAGACCATCCTTTGAGAAAAATTCCTTAGCCTGGCATACAGGACTTTTAATGATCTATTCTCAGCTTATTTTTCTACATTCCCCTTTGTGAAGATTGCTCTTTTTGCCTTTATTTATTTTTTCCAGAATAATGCATAGGCAAATTCATCTGTAAGCCATGAAGTGCTGTTTACATATAAGATGGGAATATGCCATTCTTCTACATTTCACTTTGTCCAAATCCTGGCTTCTCTTCAAAATGCAACCCTATTTCCATCTTTTTCCTGGATTTTTCCCTGACCATTTGAAAGAGATTCTCCTTTCCTTCTCTTTAAGCAAGTGTGTAACCTTTCCGCATTTCCTACATCCTGATTGTTGGGTTTTGTTTCATTTTTATGTGACTAATCTCAAATTGTTCGTTATTGCTTGGCACAGACTTTGCCTTACATAATTTTTCTTATCTCCCACAGAACCTGTGTGGAAATAAAAATGAATGCCTGTACCCTTGTCAGTTTTGGCTATTTTGCAAGGCTACAATGAAATATTCACTGGGCACTCAGTGAATATTTTAAATAATAAAATTAATCTGTTTGTCTTGTCTACCCTGTCCATAGCCTGTGAAATTTCTGTGACTTTGTTTAAATAATCTCTCAGCATTGGTCATTGGCCATTATAGATTGAAGATACCCTCACTTTTTTAGTTTACCCTCCCCTCATGTTTTGTTATTCTGTAGATTGTGGATTATTAGTATCTCTAACTTCATGCAATATTCCAGGTAGAGACTATTAGTGTTAGTTTTTTCTGATAGAAAGATTTGGACTTTGTGGTAGGAATTAAACAAAATGCCCTCAAGATTATGTTAATTTCTAGCTTCTTATGTTGTAGCTCTCTTTCTGGTACTTCAAGCCTACTGATCAAATCCTTGACCTACCCACAGTCTCACCCTAATATTCTGAGTTTGCCAAAGGATAGGACTTAAGACTGACATTAGGGAAGGAGAAGGGGGTTCATGCGTCTCCCTAGCCTGCATTTGATGGTAGCCATGTTGGGTGGGAGTTAGAAAGATGCTTCTATTTCTGCCAAACCCAGCTCCCTGGGAAAGAAGAGTGACATATTCTAGGAAAGGAAGGGGGTTGGTAAGGGCAATATAGTCAACATCTGTCATTCCATTGCTTGTCAGTATCATTTTAGCTGATTTGTCTGACTGGGCAGGTGTCCCCTCTCTCCCTCAGTGCTCCATGTGCATCCCTCTTGAAGCTTCGTACTCTGTTGAAGAGGACACTCATCCCAGGTAGAGAGGTGGGTGGGAAACGGGGCCAGTTAAATCTATGTCCTTTTCTTTCCATCACATCAAGGCTGCTTAACTTCCTAAGGTCCCTGGCCTCTATGAAATTCCTTGGCAAATTTTGTTTATTCATTTCTGTGTTTCTTGGGAGGAGGGTCCATAGTATTTGTCAGATTCTCAATGGGATCTACAGATTCAAGCGTTATGGCACTTGATGTTGCTGTTTTCTGTTGTATTTCTCAAGCCGGAATGACAGAAAATTAGAAGTGCAAAGGGAAATAGGATAGTAGGACTACTGTCTAGGCAAGCAATTATAGGATCCCTTTTTTATTTTAGATGTCTTTAGCGCATGAGGCAATCGTCAAAAGCTTTGTTGTCTATTTCTTAAATAGTAATAATAGAAGGCTAGCAATGCAAGAGGGGAAGCTGATGTGTACTACATGCAGTAAAAATGGTCTATATGATAGCAGTTAGAAGATAATTCAGTTTTTGTCACTAATGTGCTCTACAGCCATAGCACATTATTTTCTTTTTAGGGATCTTAATTTAGTTGGTAAAATGAAAGAGCTGGAATCAGTTTAAGGCTCCTCAATAGCTAAATACATGAGAGAATTCTCTGTGCCCAGGGATATCTAAAAGAAACTTAATATTAAAAGAGAAAGGAATCCTGTTTTGGCTGTCTCTGATTGTGTGTGCCTCTGTGAGAGAGGATAGAAGGCTTAGTTATAGATGCATTTGTCATATGACTGATGAGTTTCAGGATTTTAACTTTCTTCAAGAAGGTAAAGGAACACTTAACAATAAAGAAATGATTTGACCCAAGCTTTGTTCCTTGGTTTGAAGTGCTTGACAGCAGTCTATATAATGGGCCCATTTGCTTGATTATGAAAGTAAAATTATTTGTTAAACTTTTGAGAGATAAATTCTAATTCATCAATTGGAATTTTTTTCTTTTATTGAGTTAGCTATTTAAACCAGGAATTCTTGAAGAGGATGTTTTGTTTAAACTACATTAATCCAGAATGAAGAGAATAATTTGTAATCTTTCAATGTATTTGCAGTCATTATTTAGAAGCAAGGTCCTTGAATGAGAGAGATTATCGTGACCGGAGATACATTGATGAATACAGGAATGACTACTGCGAAGGTTATGTACCTAGACATTATCACAGAGACATTGAAAACAGTTATCGAATCCACTGCAGTAAATCTTCAGTCCGAAGCAGGAGAAGCAGTCCTAAAAGGAAGCATAATAGATACTGTTCAAGTCATCAGTCACGTTCGGTATGATTGATTTTGTTTTTATTTTGAGTGGATTCTTATTTGTGTGTAAAAGCTCTTAGTGAGCTGATAAGTTTCTAAATGTTTCTTTAGACATATAAAATACTATTTGGATATGTTATAATTATGTGTATACTACTTAAATCCTTGAAGGAAACATCCAGATTCTCATAGTTGATCTGTATATTTATTAGCTAGCCCTCATTTCCCACATTTACTCATAATCTTAGACCAGATCATGAGTTTGTTGATTTTAGTAATACAATTATTTTTGTGTTTGAAACATATTCCTATGAAAAAATGATGCACCCATCTTTTCTTTCATCTGTTTTTACTTTGAAGGAAATTCCTTTCCTGTACTTGGAAACAATATGGAAAATTACATTAGTGGATACTTAAATGTTACTAGCCTGTATTAGCATAGTTCCATAGCACAGTATATCATTGTCTGCAACCAGTTCTTTTGAAATTGTGAAGATGGGTGCTGAATGGGAAATGTGTTACTCAAAAAAGCCTGCCTTTTTTTTAACATTCAGACATCTTCATTTATTTGATCAGTAAACTTTGAATTACTGTTTTTCTTCCCAAGTTTTCTTCAGTAGAACTAGCTTATATTAAATTGAACATTTATTTTCCCCCTTTATTTTAATCATGTATATTTTTAAATATTGCTAAGCACAATTTCGACTAATCTTGACATTTTAAAACATTTTTCTGACAAACTAGACATCTCAACTCACAGCATATGCTATTTATAGCAAGAGATTAGTAATCATGACATTGCATTCTTTAAATTTCAGACTTCAATTAACAGTATTTTAAAGAGACAATTGTGTTGTTTTTTTTCTATTGCCACTTTAAGTATCTTATCTGAAAATCTGTTCCTTGCCATGTTTTTCTTCTGTAACATAAACTGTGCCCTGTGAATTTCTGGGGACTGAATTTGAAATTGCTCCTGCCAACTGTTCGTGGCCTGGTGCTTATCTGAATGCCTGAATATCTCCCCGCTGAATGAATTGCGTATTCTGCCCTGAATTCACTCTGATATATTGATTGGCTGGACGATCTTGGTGCTGCCCACTTGCCGTTCCAGAAGAGCCACCGAAGGAAAAGATCCAGGAGTATAGAGGATGATGAGGAGGGTCACCTGATCTGTCAAAGTGGAGACGTTCTAAGAGCAAGATGTATAGAATATTTTTCAACACTTTTTAAACTTTGCAAACAGAATAATCCTTTTAAGAATAGTTTGTCAGCGGGGGGCTAAAGAACTCTTCATTGCTTTTTTGTTTTGTTTTTTGTGGGTTTGTTTGTTCTTTTGTATTTCTTCTTTTCTATAGAATTTAAATATTTCTATTCTAAAGTTCCAAAATAATCAGTGAAATTTGAGATTAGAGCAAGAAAGATAGCTCTATCTAATTGTTTTTGTAGCAGCTGAAAATAAAATAATTTGAGTGCTGAAACCTTAGTTATGCTTTGATAAAGATCATTTGAAAATATTCCACACTTAAGCAAATTCATTGTTTGAATAACTAGATAATTTGTACTCAGGTACTTATACCTCTTTTCCCCCCCCTCACTTTAGATGAAATCGTGGACACTTTGGGTGAAGGAGCCTTTGGCAAAGTTGTAGAGTGTATTGATCATGCCATGTAAGTTATTTTTTTTTTTAACATTCTAATATTTTTGGTGGGGAAAGGTCCATAAATTTAGATGAAATATATTCTAAGTGGTAGCCACAGCATATCTCTCTTGACGGTATAAATATACAACAAAATTTCTTGCGCTGGGTATGATTTGTTTACTATGGATGTGGATTTCCATCAAGAATACTAACAAATATTATCAGATGGATTTTATTGAAATTAAAATGGGATATTCAAGTTAGGAGTTTCCCAGAATTGAAGCCTTTAGCCTTTTATAAAGAGATTCAGCTTTTGGATTGCAGAGGCAATAAAGCATATCTAATCTTGCATGTTAAAGTTAGCTTCCTAAACTATGAAGAAATTATATGAAGCCCTACAGAAATAAAGTCTAAATTCTTTACTGAAGCACACTAGTTCCCTTTGTGATTGGACCCTTTTTGCCTCATTTTACCTTTTTCTTCCAGGACCTCTATTCTGTGGTTTGCAAAGTTTTTTGTAAGTAATTAAAACAGTTGGGAATGATATAATTTCCAGCTTTTCACAAACATTACGGAAAAAAACTTCTTTCCCTTTAAATGCATACTTTTGCAACTTGATAACCTACCATCATCCATAAACAAACTCTTCTTGAATACTTAGACATGTTTTACTCTTTTGTTTATTCTCATTGTACTTTCCATGAAGAAGAATATGCTAAATTAACTTTTATTGTCACCCTATCTTGTTTCTCTGCAGCAAATTGAATATAAATTGAATTTTAAAATATTTTTAAATATTTTCAGACTCACAGAAAGAATTTCTGGATATCCTTCACCCGGATTTTCCAAATGTCTACGTTTTATAATGTTAATCATTTTATAGATTTTTCAAATTTTGCCAGCTAATCTACATTCAGATTTCACCAGTTGTTGCGTTAATGTCCTTTTAAAATTTCCTGAGATTCTACGTCTCTTGAGTATCTGAGGTATTTTAAATAATAATATTCAGTTGGTCAAAGTACCAATATATTATAAATACTTATACTTACTGGACCTAAAATAAGATTTCATCAGAATGTCTCTCTTATTGGGATGGTTTGGGCTTCTAAAAATGAATGCATATATACATAGATAAATATCTCACTGTTTAGCATTGTCTGTTTTCTTTTTCATTTTTCAATGAGAAAACTTTTTGGTTATATAACTAAATAGGTGAGAGTGTAAGTTTTGTCACAGTAATTTTATAACAGTTCTTAAAAGTCTTGACATAACATGCCAAACATCAGAGGGAGATTATCATCAAAAATTTTCTGAACTATTTATCATTATGTACTATTTTTGAGACCTTCTTGAAAGTGATGACTTGGAAACCACCAGATGTGGAAAAAGATTTATTATCCAGCTGTTAAGAGTACATGTATTTGTTTGCCCCAGAGGTTTTTAATAACCAGGGGCATATATCTTAATATACTAATAAGAGATGGATGAGGTTTTCTTTCCTTTTGCTAAGCGGAGGACCAAGTGAAAAAGGAAGCTTGAATGTTGGCTCATCTCCAGGCAGATCCTAAAATGAGAAGAGAAGGAAGGTGAAGATTTGCAAATTGATGTCCTCGAAATCATTTCATATTAGCTCTGACTCAATACCTTTTAGGAAGCTTTCTTAATAGTTGGCCCAATCGGCTCGGCACCTGTGGCTCAAGTGGCTAAGGCGCCAGCCATATACACCTAAGGTGGGGGGTTCAAATCCAGCCTGGGCCCGGCCAAAACAACAATGATGGCTGCAACCAAAAAATAGCCGGGCATTGTGGCGGGCACCTGTGGTCCCAGTTACTTGGGAGGCTGAGGCAGGAGACTGGCTTGAGCCCTGGAGTTGGAGGTTGCTGTGAGCTGTGATGCTACGGCACTCTACCCAGGGGGAAAGCTTGAGGCTCTGTCTCAAAAAAAAAAAAAAAAAGGTAGTTGGCCCAATCTAAAGCCCACTTCCCTACACTATAGCTGTATTTCCATGTACTTGCGTCAGTGAATGTGCTGAGGATCTTCTTGGCTTTATGATGTAATAATTGGTGATTCCTTTACCCGGATGTTCCATTTCCTTCCCCGTCTGTCAAACTCATAGCTATCTTTCAAACCTTAGTTCTTCTGTGTCACCACTTCTGTGGAGAAAGGATGGAGAACCTACAAACTCAAGGCTACATGTGGCCTTCTAAATCCCCAAGTGCAGCCCCTCAACTAAATGCAGACTTCATAGAAGAAATCCGTTAATTAAAAGGATTTGTTCTGCAAAATTTGCATTTACTCAGGCCTTGTCTTTTCATTGCTACTATCTATGCACTGTCTGGCACAGAGTAGGTCTAGCCTGCTGAATAAATAAATGCTTTCAGCAGTAGCATATACTTTTAAAACTTTTGTTTCATAACATCTAGATCAGGGATCTTCAAACTTTGTAAATGGGGGGCCAGTTCACTGTCCCTCAGACCGTTGGAGGGCTGGACTGTAGGCCCTCGGACGAGTCGGCTGCTAAGCAGCACAGGCAGTGGCAGCAAAAACACCTGGCAGGCCAGATAAATGTCCTGGGCAGGCCGCAGTTTGAGGATGCCTGATGTAGATGAATGTAAAATTCTGGGACCAAACATTAAAATTCATAGATATTAAGGGAATCAGCACTTCATATAAAGTCTATTTTGTCAAAATGTTTTGAAAAGTTATATGAAATTTAGTATAATATACTCTAAAAGATTTATTGAAAGATTATTTTAGAAAAATAGCATATAAGAATCAGCAGTTAAATTAAGATGATGCTTTAGAGGCTACATGGCTTCACTCCATACCTGTACATTAACTATTTTCATCTTAATTTTGTTTTTAAGGGATGGCATGCATGTAGCAGTGAAAATCGTAAAAAATGTAGGCCGTTACCGTGAAGCAGCTCGTTCAGAAATCCAAGTATTAGAGCATTTAAATAGTACTGATCCCACTAGTGTCTTGTAAGTATAAATTTGAACTAAGAGGCAAAATATTACATCAAGTAACTAGAATTCTGTGAACTAAATTATTATTTTCATCTGTTTTAGCCGATGTGTCCAGATGCTAGAATGGTTTGATCATCATGGTCATGTTTGTATTGTGTTTGAACTGCTGGGACTTAGTACCTATGATTTCATTAAAGAAAACAGCTTTCTGCCATTTCAAATTGACCACATCAGGCAGATGGCATATCAGATCTGCCAATCAATAAATTGTAAGTATACTTGATTAAATCTTCAAACACCAGAAAATTTTTTTTATTATACAAGCAGTATACCAAAACATTGTCATTAAAGATAAACATTTTACAGGTAGAGATAAAACCTCTCTTGGCCAGTATATCCACTGCTAATCTCCCTTCCTCTGCCAGTCAAATTAAATTTGCAAGTGAAACTAATAATGTCTTTTGGTTTTCTTGTAGTTTTGCATCATAATAAATTAACCCATACAGATCTGAAGCCTGAAAACATTTTATTTGTGAAGTCTGACTATGTAGTCAAATATAATTCTAAAATGGTAAGTTATAAACTTCTTTTAATTTGGGAAGTGGTCTTTAAAGTTAATTTAGTTTTGTGATCCTTAGATGAGGAAATTCCCTTCTGAGCCTTGTGAATATCTTGATGTTTTACCAAAAACAAGAGTAATTCTTCTTGGCCTTTCTCACAGGCTTATGTTGATAATCCAAAAAGATAATTTATATGCAAGCCTTTTGAATAGTGCTATATATATAAAGTATTGCGTATCTTCATTGTTTCATGCTTATTTAACTATATCTCTTTAGAAACGTGATGAACGTACACTGAAAAGCACAGATATCAAAGTTGTCGACTTTGGAAGTGCAACATATGACGATGAACATCACAGTACTTTGGTATCTACACGGCACTATAGAGCCCCAGAAGTCATTTTGGGTCAGTAGACACCGGATTTTCAGTTATTGTAATCAAAAAAGAGATTTTTGTTTTTACAGCTTTTATTGGGGGTTGTGGTGGGTATCATGATCTTGGTAGTGCTCAGAAAATGTTTTCTATTTTCATAAAAAATGAGTGGACATTGCTATAGACATTTTTCCTGAGTGGTAAAAATATGATACTATGAAAGATATTCAAGGTGGTGATAGTTTTTAAACAAGTTAGTCTTAAATAATCACAAAAGAACAGGCTTTATTAGCTAAGTACATCATGACAATATGATTTTGTCAAGTTATGTGGGTATCTGTTTTCATGTCATCACAAAATATGATGCCAGTGAAAATGCTGGTTGATGGTTGGTTGGCAGCCATCTACAAAAAAGGTGGGTAAAGGTTATGAAAAGAGGGACTTCTCTAAGAGGACTTCTGTGATAACCCTTGATGTGAGAAAGACCAGGAAAGAAAATGAAAGTGCAAAGTTTTGAAATAAGAATGAACCCTAAAGGAGTGTGCATCTTACGCACACATCAAAATTAAAAGTTAGAGGTCAAGACATGTTAATAGAGCAGGGAAGTCAGAGGTGGGGTTGGAAACTTGGAGGAAGTAGGAAAAGGTCAGATCAGAACCTATTGAGAGGTGGTTAAATGTCATAAACCGATTATAAAAGTAAGGTCCAGCTGAGGACCACAGATGTTTGTGTTTGTTTTTTGTTGCTAAGTCCAATAAGACTCAGTAAGTTCAGAACAGGAGTGTGAAAGCAAACTAATGATATTTATCCAGAGTAGAGGATTGATAAAGTGGTAAGAAATTGAGAATGGGCTCGGCACCTGTAGCTCAGCGGCTAGGGCGCCATCCACATACACTGGAGCTGGCAGGTTCAAATCCAGTCCAGGCCAACTACAACTCCCCAAAAAAGTAGCCAGGCATTGCGGTGGGCGCCTGTAGTCCCAGCTACTTGGGAGGCTGAGGCAAGAGAATTGCTTAAGCTCAAGAGTTGGAGGTTGGTGTTAGCTGTGACGCCACAGCACTCTACCAATGGTGACATAGTGAGACTCTGTCCAAAAAAAAAAAAAAAAATTGAGAATGTTATGTAGCGCTGGTCAGTAGACGTATGTTCTGTATCTGCACTATCCAGTGAGGTAGCCCCTAGCCGCTGGGCAACTGTACTGTGGCTGGTATGACTGAGGAACTGAATTTTGAATTTTACATTAATTTTTAGATAATTGTTCAGTACTAAACTGAAAACATGAACTCTGCATTTGCTGTTACAGTCTCCCAAATGAGCTGTGTAAAGGGAGAACCCATATAGGGAAGGATTTATTGTGTTACCAATTAAAAGCTGTTGCACAGAAAAATGTTTATATTTGTTTTTAAACAGCTTTAGGTTGGTCTCAGCCTTGTGACGTTTGGAGCATAGGTTGCATTCTCATTGAATATTACCTTGGTTTCACGGTCTTTCAGGTATGTGTCTAGTAAATTTCATTTAATAATCAATAATGTATTTTAACTGTTAAAAGCATGTTTAAGTTTTGGCTTCCATATTGTTTTCGCTTGTTTGTTTGTTTTGAGACAGAATCTCACTATGTCACCCTTGGTATAGTGCCTTGGTATCACAACTCAACAGCAACCTCCAACTCTTGGGCTTAAGGGATTCTCTTGCCTCAGCCTCCCAAGTAGCTGGGACTAAAGGTGCCTACCACAACACGCGGCTATTTTTTTGTTGCAGTGGTTGTTGTTTAGCTGGCCCAGGCCAGGTTCAAACCCATCAGCCTTCATGTGTAACCACTGTGCTACAGGCACCAAGCCTGGCTTCCATATTGGAAAGCTGCCATGCTATTCTTTCCTAAAGCCACAGTTAAATGAAATACTGCTAGTCATACTTCATTTTGGATATTTACTGTTTGCTAATATTTACTATGTAGCCCTTCTCTGAAAAAGTTTGTCAGTGTCTGCTCCAGAAGCATACTGTTTCAACTGTTAAGTTCAATTATCTTTATTCTATTTTAGCCAAGCCAATGCTCTTACTGCTTGGTTTAAGGATTACAAGCTTCAAATTGAGATTATAGCTCAACTGTCTTCATTTATGAGCTGTATGACATTGAACTGATAGCAATATTTTAACCTCTTTGACACTCTTGTTCTCATATACTTGGCTTATGTTCATTGTGAGGGATTAGTGGGACAGTATTTCTATTGCCTGGGATTAGTAAGTGTTAGTAATTACTATGGACTTTGTTGGGTAATGGAGGTTAATTTTGGTTAAGCAGCTAATTAAGGAGAGAGTTTTTTGGGGAACCTTCCCTAGTCATCTTCAGTTACAGTGTAAGACAGCGGTTCTCAACCTGTGGGTCGTGACCCACAGGAACTGTATTAAAGGGCCGCGGCATTAGGAAGGTTGAGAACCACTGGTGTAAGAAATACAAATAAACAAGGAAACTGTGTTGCACCAAATAGCTCTCATTCAGTATTCTCTCTTTGAAGTATTTTGTAACATAAATTGTGTATATATCTAGTTCTTTTATATAATCACCATTCTCTTGTGTTCTTTTGTAGTGTGCTTATAGGAAAATGGAGAGTACTAAATTTCCTTTTTCTATGTTTTTTAGACTCATGACAGTAAGGAACACCTGGCAATGATGGAGCGAATATTAGGACCCATACCACTACATATGATTCAGAAAACAAGGTATGTTTTAAGATTTTTTATGTTCTTTACTAGATAAATACAGTAATAGCCTTTATTCAAACTACAGAAAAACCAGCATTGTTGTAATTCATGTTCCAAAGACTGTACATTTTGAAATATTTTTTATGTGTTGGAGTTTATTTAAATTGCATCTTAGTCTTTTTTTTAGTCATGTTTTTAAAAATGATTATTTAGCTTGTTATCTTGTAAACAAAATGGTGGGGTTTTTTATTACTCAAGTTTACCTTTGCATAAATGCTTTCCTATGTTTATCTATAATAACATACAATATGAAAAAGCTTGTTTTTGGAGTCATAGTCTTAAGTTAGAAATGTTTACTGTCACTAACCAGCTGTACGTCCTTGGACAAGGTACTATTCCCAAATACATCTTCACCACAGAAGTCACCTAGGGAGTTAAAGACTTCCAGACCCATTCCAGATCTAGTGAAATTTTAAGGACTGGATTCAGGAGGCCTCTATTTTTAAAGCTGGCATTGTTCCATGTATTATATTTGCAAACAACTTAGTTGGGATATTGAAACCTCACAGAATGGAAGATAAAGATGTTATATAAAGATGTCTGCTATATAGTTGCTGCTGAGATTTTTAAAAATTGAACACGTGTATATCTCTACATTTAGAGAGACCTGCTTATACGTCCATCAGTTGCCCATCCCCTGGTTGGTGCTGGGTAAAAAGATGTAGAACTTCTGTTATTTTACTAATCCAGACTTCTTTTTCCTGTAGAAAACGCAAATATTTTCATCATAACCAGCTAGATTGGGATGAACATAGTTCTGCTGGTAGATATGTTAGGAGACGCTGCAAACCATTAAAGGTAAAAAAAAAAAAAAAAAGATTCAATTTTTTAAAATTTTTTTACTGTTACTATCTTTTTTAAACAAAAACATTTTCCCCCCTAGGAATTTATGCTTTGTCATGATGAAGAACATGAGAAACTGTTTGACCTGGTTCGAAGAATGTTAGAATATGATCCAACTAAAAGAATTACCTTGGATGAAGCATTGCAGCATCCTTTCTTTGACTTATTAAAAAAGAAATAAAATGGAAATCAGTGGTCTTACTATAATATACTTCTCTAGAAGGGATTACTTAAGACTGTGTCAGTCAACTAAATATTCTAATATTTTTGTAAACATTAAATTATTTTGTACAGTTAAGTGTAAATACTGTATGTTTTGTATCTATAGCATGGTCTTGATAATGAAATATAAAAGTTAAAATTAATTTTTCTTTTTGAGATTAATTGCCGTTTTTAAAGATCTTTGGCATATCCTTTGTGTCCAGTGATAAATGTGATTGATCTTGTCTTTTGTACATAGAGATCAACTTTGAAATGATTTTCTTTTTTTTGAGTAAAAGGAAATCTTGACTACTTTATATTCTTTATATACCTCAAAATTAGATCTTTTCTTAACTTCAAAAGTTTCTTCTGTAATTGTTGAACAGGTAGTAATTATCATTAACTCTAGATAGGGCAGGTATTGGAAACAAAAATCCATAGAAAATTTTCACTGTTAAGATTTTATTAAATCATAAGTACTGTGTTCTGTTTCATTGGATGATGTCAGTGGGGATACGTAGACATTCATGGAAAGGCATCCAGATTGTCCATTGTAACAGATTGTGTAATAAAAGTACATACACACTTCGTTTAAGATTAAAGTCTTAACTGAAAATTCAGCTTGGAAAATTATATTTTCCAAGGGCTGTTTGGTGAGTCACAAATACAAAATTAGGAATTTCAATGGTTGAGATTTTAGATTTTAGTATTAGGTTCTGAGGAATCTTGAAATTGTTCAATATCTGTTTCTTTATCATACAAAGTAAACACTTAAACTTGAAGATTAAGATTATTATTAAGTGGCTTGGCATCTGTGGCTCAAGTGGCTAAGGTGCCAACCACATACACCTAAGGTAGTGGGTTCAAATCCAGCCCAGGCCCACCAAACAACAATGATGGTTACAACCAAAAAATAGCTGGATGTTGTGGTGGGCGCCTATAGTCCCAGCTACTTGGGAGGCGGAAGCAGGAGACTTGCTTGAGCCCGGAGTTGGAGGTTGCTGTGAGCTATAATGTGACAGCACTCTACCCAGGGGGACAGCTTTTGAGGCTCTGTCTCAAAAAAAAAAAAAAAAAAAAAGATTATTAAGTAATTTATATTTGTGTTAATCCTTACTAGAGAAAAGAATTTGGAAAACACTTAAGAGAAGAAAATGCTACAGAAATTTCCAGAACATAATTGGCTAGTAAACATAAATTTTTTGGCTACAGGTTTTTTATTTTTATTTATTTAACTGTACCAGTTTCACATAAAAACAGTGGTAAATGTTACTTAATTTAGTAAAAGGGGAAAAATATCTATTGATGTGGTTTAGTGTGCCAGGTAGAAATATTTTTGTTGTAGAATTTATAGTTGCTTATTCACAGGTTATGTTTTGTTAAAAGTATCCTCATTTCCAAAGTGCATTACACAAGATTTGAGTTTTATATGTGTTTTTTGAGCACATAAAATGCATGGGATTTTTTGTAAAATAGTGAAATCAAGCTAGATTCTCTACATTATTTAGGGGCAGCATTAATTGGTAAGGTTAGGATGTATTCTTAAGGTTACCTGGGAATTTAAGAAAACAAATTTTACTATAAAAATCACTGCATAAATTATGTTTAGGTTTCTGTGATATAATCCAAATATAATGAATGAATCTTCAGAGTAATTTACTTACATTATATGTGTGTTTTTTGAGATAGAATCTTGCTGTTGCCCAGGCTAGAGTGCAGTGGAATCATCATAGCTCATTGTGGTCTTACACTCCTAGGCTCAAGCAGTCCCCCTGCCTCAGCCTCTGAGTAGCTGGCACTACAGGTGATCACTGCCATACCCAGCTAATTTTTCTTTTTTTGATTTTTTTTTTTTTTTAATTTTTAGACAGTCTCACTCTGTCACCCTGTATTAAGAGCTATGGCATCATAGTTCACAGCAACCTCTAACTCCCGAACTTTAAAGTGATCCTCTTGCCATTGTTGTTTGGTGGGCCAGGGCTGGATTTGAACCCACTACTTCAGGTGTATGTGGTTGGCACCTTAGCCACTTGAGCCACAGATGCCGAGCCACTTAATAATAATCTTAATCTTCAAGTTTAAGTGTTTACTTTGTATGATAAAGAAATAGATATTGAATAATTTCAAGATTCCTCAGAACCTAGTATTAAATGCTTGTAGCCTCAAGCAATCCTCCTAGCTTGATCTCCCTAAGTCCTAAGATTACTGGCTTGAGCCCACCTGCCCATCCAAATTATTTCTTAAATATTTTGTTTGTTTAGTGGTTAACAAATGTTTTCCTGAGCTTAATGGTGTTGCTGCATAGATTAAGGTATTTGTGATCCTTTATTTTCCCCTCTTGATTTTCCCAGTGCTACGATGCTACCTAAGCTTCCTTTCCTTTCCCAGCAAGTGCTTCAGGTTCCCAAATTAATGTTTACCAGAAACTCATATTCTCAGAGTAACTGATCTCAGTATGCAGAAAAAAAGAAAAAAGTCCACATTATTTCTTACTAAGAAGCTGATTGCTAATACCCTACCTCTTCTGAAAATTATTTATTTACATTATTTACAAAGCGTATTTGCCAATTGCTAGGCTTAATTCATGAACTTTTAAGAAAGCAAAACTTTAAAAAATTAGAAAAAATGGTTAGTGGTTAGGATGGTACCTCTGGGATTATTATATGTGTGTGCCTTTTGCTCACCTCCTTAGAGCTCTCAAGTTCCTACCTTTAATTGCCTTTTTCCTTATACTTCTGAACTCATTTTAAAAGCGCCATGCTTTTTTTTCCCCTTTGGCAGTTCCTAGACCAACATTCTAAAGATTTAGAATACCCAGTGTATTAATATGAATCATTTATAATTTAGATATTTTTCTTAATAATTTGATACCTCATAGTTCAGTATTTCTAGAAATTTTGTGGAAGTCAAGCTTGGTTTTCTTAGACATTTTTAAAGTGCAGCCGTGAGTAGGTTATTCCCAGTTTTCTTCTGCTAGTTATTTTCCTGAGGTTTTTCATCCTTGTATTCATCAAAATAATTGCATTGACTCCTGCTGATAGTAAGGAAACAAATTACTCTGTGAAGTTGGAAACTATTCTCTGAGTAATCTTGAAGGGCTAGAATAATGCTAGAGAAATTGAAAATGACTTGGCCAAGTCTCCCAATAATCACGAATGACGATTTAAACTCCGGTCTGCTAGATTCTGGCATTGTCCTTTCCCACAGTAATACACCACATTGAGTCAAAAATTTGATCAGATTGGTTCTTATTCACAGATCTGGAGTGTAAAGTAGTAATAGTTAATAGTTTTATTACTTGATTTCATTCCTGTTTTTCTTTACTATATGAGTTAAAATGGTATGGCTATTCAAAACGTTCATTCACGTGTTCAAAAACGTGTCATTCTGTTTTAAGTATGTAAGTAGATAATAGTATTTAAAGTTGACATCCAGGAATGAAGAAACAGCAGTAGTGAGGTGACCTGTGTTTTTAAGTCTTGGTTTCAAAATTATTCTCACAAAATTTGATGTAAAATATTCCATATATTTCCTACTTGATTAACAAGCCACATTTTCAAGTGTGTTCAGAAGAATTCATTTATGATCAATACTAGCTAACAGTTATAGGCTTAGTAGATAGCAAATTTGCAAACAAAATTCTCGAAAGATGTTTGATCATTTGATTACTATTTTTAGGAGGTTTATCTCCAGCTGAATCCCCAAAGGTCTTACTATAGTTTTTAAAATTTGGTTCACTGGTTTTCTTTTGTTATTTTTTAAGTAGAAGGAATAAAAATGTCCAAAAGGTCAGTCCTGTCTTTAGGGATATAGTTGAAATTTTCATAACATGCATATACTTAAAAGTTTAAGTAATTTGGGAACGCTAGCCCCAATTACAGATTGATTTAAAAAAAAAAAACAATGCAAAAGTAGAATAGAATAATGAATTTATATATACATATATCCCAGCATCAAAACTTAAAAACATTTTACAGATTTTAATCCTATTGCTCAACTTACTTTCTTAGATTTATCTACAGATGCCAGATACCATATTATTTCACTCATAATACAGTAGAATCTCTGTACATCGACCACCCAAGGAACTGTAACAAACTTAGTGAACTTTCATGAAGTACGTATGGTGCATACCCAGTCTGAAAATTGGTCAACTGAAGGAGTTGTTAGTTGGTCAGTGTAGGGAGGTGATCAAGTATGGAGGTTCTACTGTATTTCTTTATGTTTTAACAGATAAAAGATTTTAAAACCATAATTCCACTATCATATCTAACAGACCCTTATCTGATATTTAGTTTATAATTAAAGTTTCATGAATGTCATTTATAGTTAATTGTTTGAATCAGGACCCAATCAGGATAAATGGGGAAAGGAAGAGTGAATGTCACTATGATGAAGTAATGAATGTAGAAAGTTCTCTAAGACAAATGACTTAGTTGTATTAGCAAAAAAATAGAATGAGGGTGGGGATAAGGAATGTACATACAGCGAGTAAGAGACCTGAGACATGCTAACAATATGTGGACCCTAACTGGGACCTGATTGAAACAAAATGATAAAGTAACCATTTTATAACAGAATTCCTTCTAATAAACAGGTTTAGTCACTAATGGATGCTAAATAATTGGGTGAAAAATTGATAGAGGACTTTATCATAGAGAAATCAGTCGGACAATGCCTGAACTCAGAAGTGAATCAGAACCTAAGATGAACAACCAGATTGGTGCTTCCTAACATGATGCAATAGGAAGTGTGCAGTGCCTGTGAGGTATTGCCTGAAACAAAGATGTTGAACCTGGATTTAATCAAGCTTCAGGTTGAAATTGTAATATAAAAAAGCTTTTAGTTCTTCTCTTCATTCTTACCTTTCAGGTTATTCCTTGAGGTAGGTGTTTAGTGTATTGAACTCACACTTTTTACCACCATGGTTCAAATTTTAGTTGCAGGTCTTCTCTAGACATTCAATCAAGTCAAGAAATATTAGTTTTGTTACTTAAAAGTAATATGTTATAGGATGATTAAAAACATGTAGCAGATTACCTGGCATTTGGTAATTTCACTAATAAGTAGCAATTACTTTTTTTCTAAAAATGTTTTAAGATGACTTCTTGTTTTATTTAATAATGTTAATTATTCCTCTTTATGGCACCAGAATTACTATCAATTCTATTTGTGATCCAATAACATTAATAGTTTTTATTATTTACTGAAAGATTAGAATTTCCAAAAAAAAAAATTGTTTTTAACAATAAAAATGTCCATTCAGATTATTTTTTTCTTACATTCACTCTTTTCCTGCTTTTAGTTTAGTATTAAA